TCGCATGGATGGATTGCTATAGGTACTGCGATACAGACTAAAATACTTTATTATCGCGATAGACGGGAGAAAGTAGTTTTGCCTGATTTATACACGAACAGTGGTGTCACTAAGGCAAATAATGATTGAAGCTGAATGTGAACTGCACACGCTAGTCTTGAGAGCAGTGGGTATACACTGAGTGAAAACTGACTGCTTTTTGCTTCACACAATGCGCCCAGGCGATTGGGCGGCCCAAACGTAAAGGAATTTTGGGAGCAGATCTTCTCAAGAGCTCCGGGTATATGGTGGACCTGAAGCGAGACAAACTGCTGGCAAAAATACGGCTCAGCCAAGATAGGAGATTACCAGTGTCATCGCGAGCGAGCTGCTCGTTCCATCCTGTGATTTGCTGTCAGTGCAGTCCGCGGCCTATGGTCAAGGAGTGAACCAAATTTTTAATGGCCGGCAAAGATCTGTTTGTCTTGAAGTTGTGGATCAAACATTAAAATCTCCTTTCATTAGATCAATTTACACCCCACGATGTCTGTCAGATAACGTTCCGCCTACCGGAGGAGGAACAAAGACGAGTCCGAAATGTGTTGCTCAATGTTATAACCATGGAAGCCAACCGTGCCTAAAATTTCCCGGTGGTGCATGCAAAAATCAGGAACTACCGATTTTGTGCGAACTTTTGCGGCGTAAATGAACTAACCATATGTCTGGCCTTAACCATACCCACGGTTACGGGTATTAATAATTCGCTCCGGCAATCGCGATGATGTTCTGGGTGCTGGCAGCTGGCCGGAAAAACACGTATACGGTTACGGACACCCAATACCAAGTAACAGGAATACCATTTGGATTTTCGGATGCACCATTCACTTTGCGGCACATAATGCTTTGGATAACAGAATGTTGCCGTACGCCGGAGATGATACCATCATGCATATGCATTCGGGACAAAAACATGTTGATCACTTGATAACCATATCGAAGTTCATTCAGAACGCTGGTCTGCGAATTATCGAGGACAAAGCACAGCCCCCTCAATTTTTATTGACTCTGCTCAGGCCTAAACCAGGTCAAGGGAATGTTAGTTCACTGACGCGGAAGCTGTCGAAAATCCAGTACCATGCAGTCCCCAATGCAAAGCGATCCTTATGGCAGTTTGTCAGACGAACAATATACTACAGCCGGGTTGCTAAGGGTTTCAAAAGGCTTGCTGCTATACTACGCGACTTACTGAGTCAAAATGCAATGTTTGTGTGGACTAGGAAAGCACTCGAGGTCTTTGAACTTGTGGAAGCACGAGTGCTTGATGGGCAACCCCGCCTCAAACTACCGAGAGTCAGGATGACGTTCGATGTTGCAGCGGACGCGAGGGTCACGGGCGTGGATGCAGTCCTGAAACAGAATTGCGAGGCCACCAGATATGCCAGTCGCGTCTTGCTTAAAGAAATGCGGACATGTTCCATCATTGAGAGGAAATGTTTAGCGATTGTCTGAGCCCCGAAAAAGCGGAGACCGTACTTGAGGAGACAAACGTTTTACTGTGAGACAGATCAAAACTTCCTTAACTGGCTAAGGCTATCAAAACTTCCCTAACTGGCTAAGGCTTTCAGAGCTCCATACAAAATGCTCACGCGCTTGGCACTCCGACTACAAAAGTATGAAAATGCAAGCCAGCACGTGCGGGTAAAAAGTACCACCCGGCTGATTGGCTGTCAAGACAAGAAGGAAAAGATGAAGCCGTAGAGATCGGTGCCGATATATTCGTTGTTAAACTGGCCCACGAAAGATTGGTAAAATCACAGCTACAGGATCCCAGACTATTAAATAGAACGAGGAGGGGGCCGAGGACTGGTGGTGTCCTGCAGGCACGTCAATAGGACGAGCCTGAATGAAGATGTCATACCATCCAGGAAGATCAATTATTCTGACTTCGTACATCCCGTGACACCTTGTGCCTTTAGGCAGGAGCCGATCGCTAAAGCCATGAGATGGCACATACAGGGTGTACCGAAACGTAGGACTTACTCCGGCTTACGGCCTACTGACCAGCATACGAAGTAAGGTATTGGAATACGTTGTGGCCTGTAGGCGACGGCAATTGACAAAAGGAAATACGACAGGGAAGACACCTCCAGAGAAAATTATCCCTGTACTAGAGATCGGAAAAGCATGGTTCATCGACGCTGCAAAGCAGTGGTTGTTGGTTCGTCGACGTTATAGGTCTCTTTACGGTGACGACTAGCGGCAATCATTATGTTGTGATGGCAGAACACCTGTCGCGGTGAGATAAGGCAGCAACCGTGCCAGATCAATGGGCGATGACAATCACGCGTGACGATCACGTGACGATGATGATCATGCATCACATCATTGCCAACTATGGGACACCAAAATGATCCTAACGGACCAGGACCATGCTTCACAAGCGAAAAGTCCAGTATTCACCTGCAGAAGCTGCTCATCAAGCGGCTGAGAACGTCACCCTACCACCCACAAACAAACTACCTGAGTAAACACAATGATTGCAGATTGCAACTTGATACAATCGATGGTTTTGGAAAGTAGTATTTGATAAGTCGCTCTGGCTACAATGATTTATGATCCAGTTTGAGAATCGGCCCCTCCTGTCCGAAAAACCACACCGCCTTCAAAACTCAACACCGAAGTGTTTTCGTAGCACATGAGTCGTAGGTTATGCAAAGTGGCGATAGGTAAGCGTCCCTGTCAGCGAATATGAACCATCCACGGAAAAGTTTGCACTTACCAGGTTGAGGTGTTTGGGGTCTCAATTGTATATTCGCACGAAATGTAACCAACTACAGCCAATGAGATATTTGCGATCCCCGCATTCTGATTCTGCGCGACTGAAATCCCTGAAGGACAGGGCACCAAACGGTTCCCCGGTGGTATGCATGCTGTTAGTTCCCATACGCACCATTTGGCCAAAGTTTGCTTGCCATTGTGCGCCAGGCCTTCGACAAGTGATGTTCGCAAAAGACATTGAGTCAACTCAGCTCAGTTGGTTTGGCTCAACATAATGCCCTGATGCACTTTGTTCGAGGCTGTTTGCAGGTATCAGGCACCTTATTCGTTCTCGTCTTCCTTCAGGACACGGTTTTTTCACCAACCTGACTTATCTCCTCTTTTGCTTCCACTGCTCATTGAGGATTTATCCCCTTATTGTTGTTTGGCAGTTAAGATCTCGAAAAGGTCATTGGGGTTTTGCTGTCAAAAGTGGCGATGACTTTGTAACACATGCGCTAGCGCGAAATCGCTTAGCCCAGGTGAATCGTCATTATCCCTCCCTTGACTCTGGCCTAAACAAGTGGTAGACGCTGCCGGTGTTTTGTAATCTTGCGGTAAAATGTCGCAGTCAGTGCAGATCAACACGGTCCTTTCTCATTATGTCATCGTTCATTATTTATAGAACATTGAGACCCGTATTTTACCGTTGATCGAATCGACTTGTTGACGTTCCATCATCATTAAAAGGAACATCATCAGCGTTCTGTTGTACGTCTGCTGGGCCCATAAGTATTCATGACTTTGAGCTAGCAACGTCCCTTAGACTTGTATGTCTTGTTAATCTTGTCGAATTGCGAATCCTTGGTAATGGAAATCCAAAACTTGGTACAACTGGCGAGATTCTACTTCCACAGTGACATCATTGGCTGCAGAGTCAGAAAGACCCAGGGTGAACATAGCCTTATCAATATTTCCAATCAGGTCTGCTTTAGGAGGGTCCTACGGCCAAACAGTAAACCTTGAACCAATGTGATAAACACAATAGTTGAAGCAGCTAGCGTGTGATTAGGTTGCCAATAGAATACGCAGGTGACAACCGCCTTCCGGGATAAGGCTTGAAATCTCTGAGACTTAGTTGTGCGGCCCTACTTCGACTCGTCTGGGGCGGCAAAGCAAGTGTCGTAGCTACTAACACAGCGTTCAAGCGACCGAAATGAAGACAGTGATCAACCAGATTCAAACTTCTGCTTGTGGCCTGCCAAAATACAGACGTAAAAAAGAGATTCAGCATGTGTAAAATATTTTGGACAAACTTCGTAGATTTAAGGCCTTAGTGAAAACAACACGCAATATAGTTTTGCAACAAGTTCGGGGATCTATTCGGGCATTTACTCCACATCATGTTAATCGTTTCAAGTCTATTTTTAAAGCCAACATTTTGTGCAAGTGTTTACAGGGAAAACGGTCCTGTTGTCGAGGCCAAGTTGTAAGCGTTCGTTATCAACCTCATGAAATCTGTTTAACCCTAAAATGGGATTGTTCCGCGTCGCATTCACTCGGTTGCTACTACTCTGACGTCAAATACCAGGACGCTTGAATTAGGCGTTCCATCTTGATCGGCTGCTCTGTCAAAATCTCACGCTAGTCGTGATGAAAAAAGATGTAATTGATCACAAATGCGATTTTAATTAACTTCGATAAAACAAGGGGTAACCATGTAGTCAAATAATAAATAAAGTTACAGTGATCTCTTTTATTTCCAGCTGGAACACAGTGCCCCCTACAACTTGTTCAATATCAGAGAGTATGTCTGTGCCCCGGCTGGTGGCGAGCAATCAAATAATGATCGCCTTGGTTAAACAGTCCATGGGCCTTAATCAGACGTCGTCAGCGGTGCGTATGCAGGTCGTGCTGGACAGTGGATACAATAATTCAGAGAGGCGGGACAAGCGCATGAATCGTCAATTCTGGACAGGCAAAAATGGTCAAACTTCACAGTTGCTGTTGCTTACTAGTTGATGAACTGCATCCGTCAGGACATAGATGAAGTGTCATTTAGCTTGATGCGGATTAGCCAGAGTTAATACTGTCCGAATGGAATTGACGTGAGCACGAATACTACAAACCCCTGAACTACATTGAAGAAGAACTACAGGCCGTGAACGTAACATTCTGCTATGCTAAAGAGGTGGCTATGACGCACACATTCAATGACCCTGTTCGTTCATCCCAAAGCAGACATGCCATGAGTAATACGAAAACGATCAGTTGGCTTTATTCGAATAAGTTTTACAGCCAAGGTCGCTAAACAAAGACGTCAGTGCACACATCTTGCAAGAGATCGTTGAAAATGTATGGTTTCAGTGGCCGGCTGGCAAATACAGATATACCCAAATGGTGGTCACAGGTGATCGTGAAACATATATGAAATGCGAAATGAGGAGCTCGACCCAATCGGTAAAACGGATTGGAGCATGAAGGCCTCGGACGGTCTCTTGTGCCGACGTGTGCTCCCAAGCACTTGGTTTCAGTCGTCCAGACTTTTGAGCTCCTCCAGCAGATCAGCTAATCGTTGAAACGTTGCTTTCAATTCATTGGGCGTCTGAAACAGCAATTCAATTATGATAAGCAATTCACATGGAGCCGGGGTATTGTTTGTGGATCAGATCTGTTGGTGTTTCAGTTCCGACATTTGAGTAGCCTCACAGATGCTCCTCATGACGCCAAATGTTTACTAGAGTGACGTGCTTATAAATGGCTGTGAGTAACAGCCCGCAAACTGTCGTGCACGCTTTTTTACATAAATTCTGTTTTAGACCGATTGTTTGTCCATGCGTTCACTAAGTGCAGGGAGTTTTCTTTCCTGCGAATGCCCGGGAGTGCAAAAAATATTAATGAGATTTATAGGTATACGATTTAACCCGTATTACACCGGAGACCCTTCACGATTTCATTTTCTACAGCTAAAAATTTGGCAACACCCTAGACACCGATATGCGGAAATCGAAATATATTCTTCCGTATTTGATTTGAAACATGCGGACAAGGCGATTTCGTTGAATGACAGCCTGTAGAGCTTTGACATAAACCATACCCGTTTAAGCGATTCGTCCGGTCCTGAATAGAAATGGAGCTTCCTCTGAGTGTTTAACTGATTAAGAAGACCGCTCACACCAACAGACTCCGATACGTGGATGCCTACTAAGTTCAAACAAATCAACCGACACTTAGCATTTGGTTTTTGCCCACTGGAAATACGAGGATACGCTGTTAGCGCAAGTAACGAACACCTTTCTTCTCTGTTCTGGAGTTAACCTCGTAAGCAACGTTCTAATCTGTCAGAACATGTCTGTCCTACGCTACCGCATAAAAACAAGACATTACGAACACGATGCCAGGGGATGGAATATTTGGACTATAGTCACCTGGGGATAGTGAAAGGAATCGAGATGGGTCAGTCAGGGTAAATCGAACCTAGTCACAAACCCAGCGCTAAATGTTGTACTGATCTGTGTATCAATCACCTAGATGGCCTTATAACGTTGTGAGGATGGCTCTGGGCATTCTGCGGCCGGCGTTTGTCACCAAAAGGCACTGAAAACTTGGTTGTTCATTATCCGGCTAAATCTTGTTAACCATTCGCAGTATTTGATTGAGTGAATCATCAAATGAGTGTTAATTATATTTACTTTTCGTCTGGAGTATTTCCCATCCCACAGCCCCTCATTCGCGTATGTCTTTTGAGTTTTTCACGTCTCAGTGAGAAGCTTCGATCTTCCTTTGAATGGTTAAGAATTTCTGTCGACAGGTGGCAGACCTATTTTGGGCTAATGAAACAAAAGCAAGGGAAAGGATGCCACAAAGATTCATCCGCGTCAAAATGCTGTTTTTTAGTTTAGCACCTCGATGAGCTGCAGCAGTGCACAAACACCAACAGCCGTGTTGATTTGCAGCTGGGAATCAAATTAAAGGCTATCTACACAAACGAAGTCACTATCATGCTCTTCAGTAGCACTGCAACGGTCATGAAAAACCAGGATAAACACGGAACTCACCGGTACGCCAGATATTCCACCTATAAACTGGAAAATCAGTCATTCACCACAAGTTTAGTTGAGTAAGAATGTGTGTTTACCGCAGATTTAGGAAAAGCAAACGCAACTTGCCGGGCAATGGGACTGGTTAGAGGAGTGTCCTTTGGAAGGAAAACTGATGAGGCAGAACACGATAACTGAATCTAGGACAAGTTATACCATTTGAGTATCTTTTAGGTTTCGCAGTGTAGATGGGGTGGCATTCGCACAATTTCAACCTCTCAAACCTAACCTTTCGAAAATTGCCTGCTTATTAGTAGTATCTGAAAGGACGTATTGCACCCATACGAGTGCAAAATCAATTGTCCGTTGTACCTGATAAATTGAAGCATAGAAACCTACAGTGTATACGTTGGCACACAACTCTCGAAAATTGAGTCAAGAACCAAGTGACAATCATAAAAGCAGGCTGCGGACATTTGGTTACAAAGTATAAGGTATAATTCACAAGTGTGTCCGAGTGGCACGTCTCAATAGATCAAAAGTTGATGTTCCTGCAGACGAGAGTTGAGTCACGCGCGAGGACAGCTTTTTTTCATTTGTTACTTCAAAATTCCGCCGGTTTTTCATAATTAATTCTGCCTTGCAGTACCACAGGCATTTTGCGCCTTTTCTAGGAAGACGTCCACTAGTGATCACTCGCATCCAAGTCTTAATACAGTACTCTAGCAGTGTGAAAATTAAAGATGTCCCCATTGGTTCAATGAAGGCCTTTTCATTGGGACTATGTATCATTTTGATTTGAATGTTTGTATTGGCGGGCTCATGTTTTGTTGTAGTAACCAAGGTAAATTCAAATTAATTAGCATAAGTAATTACCAACGGTCGACTTGGTGAATAATTAAACAAACGAGTTTGTTAAAATTTAAACAGAGCTACACGGAGACTTACCGAACGTGTGGCCATCTGCAACAAAGGTACGTTAAAGACGCTCAGTTTTTCCAGGTTCAAATGAAGAAACTTCCCAAAGCTAGTTGAATGCAGTGTAGAACATCGTTGACTGGCGATGCTGCGAAATATACGTGACTCGGGTGCGCTGCTGGGTTGTTGGTTTAATCACCTTCAGTTGAAGTTACCCAAACAACGAACTAGGTACGAATAGATGAGACCAAGATGCAACTCAGATTCTAAACGGACCAACCAAATTATACAAAATCCACTCCCGGAAAAATTTATCACTCTAGTACTAGTCTAACGGTGATACTACTGATGGGGAGGCATGCGAGTAGTATATGTTGTTCTTGGAATTTCGCTTGGCGTCTCTTGACAAGGAGAGATCTGTTGCGGAATTTGTGGAGTCACTTTGTAACATTTGCTTTGATTTGAGCAATGAATGATTGGAGTCAATGAATATCCAAGAAAATTCAAGAAGACGTGTTCACGAGTAGATGGATGTCCAGTTTTTGTAAATAAAATGCAAATGAGAGAGTTTTGCTTCTCTGTCCAAAAGCCTGTAACCGGTCAGTTGGCATTTTCTAATAAGTAGCTCCGCGGCGAAGGCCTTCTTCCTTTCATTTGGTGCCGTGACCGGGATAAGGATGAAGATCCCGTGGCCGCAACTCTTTGAGGATGGTGATCTGGGGACCTTCCTGGAGGACCTTGAGGAGATGGTGGAGGCTGCCCGGTTGGGGACCGACCGAGGCAAGGAGAAGAGGGATGGTTCACCAGAGGACGAACTGGAGACCAGAGTGGACCAACTCGCAGAACAGCTTGCAGCCGTGAAGACGGAATCGCGCAGTCACGCTCGAACCAGCCGGTGCTACATGTGTGGCAAGTCTGGCCACTGGAAGAATCAGTGTCCTCGTACCCGATCACCTGCACAAAATAGAACTTTAGAGTACTCCTCTTTTCCTGGGTGGGTCGCGATTAGCGCACTGACACAAGCTACCATACAAGCCATTGTCGAGGTAGACGGGAAAAGGGACTTATGTTTGATTGATACAGGAGCAGGCGTATCGCTGAGGCGAAGATGGAAGTAAGGATTTCAACACGATCGCTGTGCCACTGTACGACTTGCTCGGGAAAAATCGAAAATTCGAATGGACCAGAGGAGCACATGAGGCTTTCGAGCGTGTCAAAGCGCGTATGTTGGATCAGTAACTGACCCTCAGACTTCCCACGGCCGGAGAGATGTTCACTGTTGAAACGGACCATTGAGAGAGAATGTTTGGTGATCGTCTGGGCCCTGGATAAATGGAGGCCGTATCTGTTTGGGCAAAGTTTTCATGTCGAAACCGATCACAAACTCCTGGAGTGGATCAGGGCCACCAGAGATCCTCGCGGGAAGCTTGCACGCTGGGCAATCCGGTCGCAAGAGTACGACTTCACAATCTAGCACGTGCCAGGGAACGAGAGCCACTTGGCTGATTGGCTGGCAGGAGCAGAAGCTGAAGATAAGGTCCGCAGGATCATGATTGGAGCCAATGGCCTCGTCGTCGAACTGGATTCCGATAGGATCCTGTGTTACAAAAGGTTGCCGTCGACTTGTTGAATGTAAGGAACATTGAGAACGGAGAGGGAGACAAGGAATTAGAGACGTTCCAGAGCCACTTTGATCGGCTGAGGCTGAATGAAGCTGGCATAATTTCCTGAAACGCTACTGATTCGGGTGTTGTGCTGTCCGTGATACCTCGCGTCTTGAGACGGAATCTTATCGTCGAATGCCATGAGATGGCACATACAGGGTGCACCAAGACGTACGACCTATTTCGGAAGAGGGTCTATTGGCCCGGGATGAGAAGTGAGGGAACGGATTATGTGGTGTCCTGTAAGCGATGCCAACTGGTGAAAGCGGATACGACAGGGGCAACTCATTCCATAGATCTCATTTGTGTCTCAGGAATTGGCGAGTTGTGGTTCATTGACGTCATGGGCCCCTTTCTGGTAACAACCAGTGGGAATCAATAAATACATCGTGTTAGTGACAGAACACCTGTCGCGGTGGATTGGGGCGGCAGCCGTGCCTAATCAACGGGCGAAGACGGTCAGCGGAGTGGTAATGCATCACGTCGTGGCCAACCATGTGGTGTCAAAAAGGACACTGGTGACAACCAGCGGGAATCAATACATCGTGTTGGTGACAGAACACCTGTCACTAGTACGTACTGTCTGATATAAATCATAGTTTTACATGCATTGAGAAAACTAGAAATGGATCGTAGCTGACTCCAACAACACTGATTTGTGCTTCAAGACAATAGTTACTTGAAACAACCTTGCAAGAGACGGTGATGCCTGCCAAACAGTCTGGGTTACCCCAAACACTTGTGATTCTCTGCTTTCCAATTTTTTGCTGAAAGTCTTGCCACAAAGCCCATTTTTACTGATAATTTATTGTTTGCACTAAAATGTGGAAAGTGTATGTTACTTCAAGCTACTGCGTCCCTGAGCTTGACAAATTTTCCACGGTAAAATATTCGCGGTTACAGATGGATAGATAAAAATGGGTTGGTGCAAATGCGAAAGGCTGTGTGGCGTTTTGTGTTTTACAGTAGAGAGGGCTGCTATCACAAACGCGCGTCAGATAGGATATCTGAACCGACTAATATGCTCGCGCTTGGGAAATGTGATTGGTTCTCCCGTCGTAGAAGTTCAGGAACGCTACGGAAAAATATAGAGACAACTCAGTCGATACCAGATGGAAAAACTTGTCACAAATCAAAAGCATGATGTTTTGTGTGCACATTTGGCAATTTCTTCAGTTCACGTTCCACATAAATGTCCCATCTTGTGGAAACGGAAGTGTTTATAGTAATCTATTCTAGATTACAAATAATGATTCTGGGATACAAAAATCGATCAGAACTCGCCTCATACTGGTACACCATTAAAAAGAATGGGTTGGAAGACATTCCATAGTCGATCCACTGGCAGTAGCAACCGAATATCTGGCTATATGATTAGTATAGTACAGTATAAAATTGGGAAAATAGCATACCGGTAATTCGAGACTTACCGGCAAACCCCTTTTCAATCTATCGAACTGTAACAAGAAGATAGGTTTTAGAAACAAGTTTGTGTAATTCCTGTCTTCAGAAATAAAGCCAACCTCCTGTGCAGTATTAAGTAGACTGTCGTCTCAGTAGAGTTTTTTCCCAGTCCGCAGTTGAAAAAAATAGCACTTTCTATATTCTCTCACCTAGACGGCGGGGATCTAACAAGCGAAGGGTTTGATGTAATTACCCTGCTGCTAAGTAACGCCCTCAGCAAAAAAATGCAAACTGGGCTATCGCGTCTAGCGGTTTGAACCCGCAGGCGATTTTTATATTTGTAGTTGGCTTTCACTACATAGGTTTCCAAAATGTCTCAATAAGTATCCACAATCAACCGGGCTGACATTCTTTGGTCTTGACGTGCGAGGCCCCATCTTGACGTCCTGTTGATTATACGAATTAGGCCAGGCCTGCGTTCAAGTCAGATGTTGGGTCCTCCATGGTCCACGTGACTGGGCTCTGCATTGCTTGCTTTCCAGTGGGAATTTGAATTTCAAGCATTGATTTGTATGGTTCATTGTTTTTTGCCTGTTTGGCAGGTAGCGCGTCTGACAAGCCTGTTCAAAACCGCAGCATCACGAACAAACCACTACTAGTGATGACTTTTCATATAACTAACACCTAATTGATGACCGCGAAATCACAGGTAATTGTGAGATTAGACTTGGGATCAAACTCGACCATTTTGCACACTGACTATCATCTGAATGCCCACAATTACGCAGATCAGACTACACCCTTCCTACACCCATATTTTCCTGCCTTGATTACAAACAATGGTCTGCTATGACCACACAAAAAATACTGCTACAATGTACTTCTATGTCTCAGGATCAGGTGGCGTGTCCAGTTCATCCGATCATCATTCTGGAAACCGGCATGTCATTTGGCTATTTTAGAGTCGGCTGAATCGTTTTAAGGATGACAAAGTGGAGCACGCAACTGACCCACAATCTCACCGCTGACCACGCCAGTCACTTGAATGGGGGGATTCGGCTGAAGTTAGACAACCACGCTCAATTACCCTGACTTGTCCAGCATAAGTGCACGTTTTCTACGATATGAGCGTACAATCGTTAAAGCTGTAAGCACATATCCACAGGGTATCGCTCCGGCAGTTCAGTGATTTGTTGGCTACACAATTTACGCGTAATCGCTTGATCCAGCGGTCACGTGCCTCCTTGTCCAGGATATCCGCTTGGTATACATTTCCAGTTTATCACGGGCACTTGGGTAGTATTCAGCCGCATTGAGAAAAAATAGGTCGATTGGTAGGATTGTACTACTCTCTTGGTTTTTGGTCCCTCTAGCGTCCCCGTGCATACCACACATGGAAAGAAGACATTCGCACATTCTCGCTGTGATGTGTTCCAAATGAACCCTGAATAACACCAGTTTGACTGGCCTTCCCGCTCTTGAATTGACAATTCTTTCAGCTAAAGGTGGAAGCGTAAACCAGTTTCAAACCCTTCTACATTTATGCATGTGTAAACAGCTTGCATGAGTTCTCTAGTGGTGTATTTGAGATGTTCACATTGGGTATCTTGGTAAACTGCTTAATTGTGCGTGCGTCACTGTCTAAATAATCGCAATATCGGAAAACAGCAATCAAAGTTGGTGCTTGCATACAAACGTCGGTATCTAAATTTAGAATTTCTTCTTCCAGATTCAAGCAGTAATCCAACTTGAAGGTACTTTGGCGTCTTTACTTCCTGACGATCCAAAGATGTGACTGGAACTACTAACCCTCTTGTCATATGATCACTGAGCAAAACAGAATGACGGCATCCTTTTGCCTTTAGAAAGTCACTGAGAGCTCGCAAAGGAGATGGGATGAGAAACTGATCATTCTAGTCAAATATAGTAGCTATATGGAAGAAAATCGATGATCCGATCAGTAGTCTCTTACGACATCAGCCACTAGGCACTTGAACTTAGCCTGGGCCCTTAAAAATATTGATAAGCTTTGATGTGCTTGGGTTCCCGCTGCATCTTGCTTTGGTTACCCTAGAGGTCCATCTAAAAAGCTGGTGTGCTGAGTTTTTTTTCGTGAAGGTCCACCTCGTTTGGGCTAGAGGATTGGAAGTCAGTTATGTGGGACATTCCGGTGTGATACATTATCTTTTCCCTCAAGTTCAAAATGAGGTATCACGAACAAACTAGTGATACAGTACTCGAATTTTTAGCAGTACACATTTTCACCTTCACTCACAGGAGGAAACACTTGAAAATTTCGAAAATCCTCAAACTACTAATAACACATAAGTAGCAAAATGAACAATTCACACGATAAGCAAGATTCACGACGAGCCAGTCAATACGCGAACACGTGAGGTGGATTCTGTGATTGAATGATGAATGAGGCTAGATCTTGTTCGAGCATCCCTACCATTAAAAAGTCTCAACTGCACTCATGCTAAGATGAATAGTAGTAACTACAATAACGAAATTATAGCGGAGACTTACCATTTCATTTGTTATTTGCCGCACCTCATTTAGTATTTCCAGACGACGGGTGCGACACCTGTTGATTCGCTTGAGAAAAAATATTCCATTTAGAACAGAGCAGTTGAGTAGATGTATGGCATTGCGAAAATAAGCGCCCTGAGGCAGTAAAATGGAAGTAGTGTATGAGTTTTGATCGTTCGGCACGCATTTCACCTGCAATCAGAACCAATCTGCGCTGAGAAGTAGTGTACTGCTACCGGAGCATTGTTGAGTGTGCACTTCACAAACTTACAAAAGCAGTCGAAACTATGACCATCCATGTGGGAATTTGAACAGCCTACCTCTTTGTTGTTAGGTCACTAATCTGCAGTTAGTCTGTGAAGTGTTAAAGCTGTCGCCTCTCACATCATAAAGGTATTATATTCGCCACACCGTAGATCATGCGTCACAAACACTCAAATCACGTGACAATTCCGGTCCAACTTGCAACATTAGCCGACAACATGTACACTACCATTTCCCATCCATTTTCGTTTACGCGGCTAACACTGCGTCGCGCGCCAGGCTCGCGAACTTCAACCGCATCAGGTCAAGTTGTATTCACGTTCATTCACATTAAATAGGCATGCAACTCGTCCAAAATCACACACTCGCGCGCACAGGAAGAGAAGTCAACCGAATTCCACACTTCTCCACGGACAACTACGGAACACGTGTAGCAGCTGTACTGCAGAGAAGACCCGTCCCACGTCCGGAACTTCACCCAGGCAATCTCAACAGTTGTCCCCAAACGATAAATCACTTTTGGTTTATTCCTTTCCCAGGTTGAAGTTATTTTTATCAAGTGCATATAACCCTCACAATCATCCTCATTCTGATAAAACAGACATTTGGTAGTGCTTGTCACCTCCTGATAATCAACCTAATTACGTTATAACCAGATCACTAAAAGTACTCTGTATATTTGTGATATACCGGTCAAGTCAGATTGTTCAACCGCTGCAGAACCGAATGTTATCTACCCAAGGATGCAGCAGAAACAACATGATAGTTTTTACCCACCAGTTTCTTCAGTTTGTACAGCCAGTCGCTCGGACACGGATTCCCACTGATCAGGCAAACGGTAGCTGTTACACCGAATTTTCAATCCAGTGACCACATAGCATGAGCTAGCTATGGGTGCATCAGTTTGACCAGCATGGATTGCAAAGGGTTGAAGCGCATCCCAAAGTTCATCGTGACAACAATCTGCACTTACCTTCCGAGGGTAAAAGGATATGATATTTCGGTTACCGAGCAGTGCACCTGAGCTACTGCGACAATTTCCAGTACCATGTGGACACTGACTGAGTGAAACTCTGGGCTACAGACTGGAACTTGTCTGCTAATGGCAAGATTTGTGTTCGGACTGCGGAATGCGGGAACACTATCGGCGGGCTGTTGACCTCAGCCTAATCCATTCAATTATGCCAACCATTTAGAGGCGACGTCCTTCACATTTCACATCAAAGATGACAGGGGTGAGTGAAACGAGAGAAGTCAACCAAAAAACTGAGGACATGCACTGTCGTACTTCGACGCGCTGTTTGGTTGGTTATTGATGGCATATCTAAAAGCATTGTCTAAAACAACCCAAAAATTCTGTCAAATGTGAATTTCTGTGATTCCCCCTATACACAAAAATGCAAAGTGATGAGCAACTAGGTGAATTGAATCGAAGAAGCAACGAACAGTTTAGAAGACTGAAAATGAAACCTACCTGTTGCATTTCGGAAAGTTTATCCTTCTGAGCTTTCAGCTAAAATGGATGGGGAAAACGTGGTGAAGTAGCAGACACATCCAACAGGTAAAATGCTCTGACCTCGTTCATCGGGCCAGCTGACTCAGTGGTTAGGACGCGAATTTACCTGGGCTTGGTAAACTGTCTGTATCACAGCCCTCCTGCTTCCTTCTGGTGGCATGGCATTTAGACGCCGAAGGGATGTTACAACTGAACGAACGTTCATGGGGAAGCGTGTTAAGGTTACTGAGTGCCCGAAGATTTCGTCCATCTTTTAATCAATCTAATTTTTCCTATGAGGACTTATACCACAGACCAACGGTCAATGAATTGGGACGGAAAGTGGGTTCCAGTCCTTCAGAAGACTTGCATTGCCCTCTCTTGAGTGAGTATTTCTCCCATAATCCTATGCGGTAAACAAACACGGCCCCCTTACTGTCTCGTCGAGGGCTTTGTCGAGGAGAGAACGGCCGCTGTTGTTGCTTGTTTGTGCGAAACGTCCTCTCACAGCCTCGCATACTCAAGTAATTCTCTGATAATTGCAGAGCAGGGCTTTGACCGAGCACCGTATTGTTCATTGCTTTAATCAAAGCGGTATGAGTTGCTTTCGTAGGTAACCTACGAAATCCGTGCGATCTTTGATCACAGCAGACAGATTGTCGAAGTGCTCTAGGTCACGGGCGGCAACTAACCTATCAGTAGGTCATCTAGAGGAAATAAACCTACGTTTCGCAATTGTCATTCGATAACGACACAATTACCAAAATCGGTCCCAACCAACATCCAACTCGTCATCATCATCATCATCATCATCATCATCATCATCATCATCATCATCATCATCATCATTCAAATCATCATCATCATCATCTTCTTTTTCATCATCATCATCATCTTCTTCTTCTTCATCATCATCATCCCATTATCAACATGATCGCCGTGATCGACAACGTGTTCGCCATCTTCACCAGTATCATCATCCTCGACGGTTGGACAATACAAACTCAGATGCACCTCCACATTTTGTAGCTAGATCAGACACGTAACTGCTAGAAACACTAGCGGAAGTTAAGGATTCTAGGGGAAACGTCATTGAGCACAGTAATTTCAGCGGCTGGACTTGCAAAATATCCTCAGTTTGAGGACGCGATGATGCAGTGATTTGGGCGCGAAATGACCAACCCATATTCCACTGGTCTGTACCTAGACTCGGAATCTCGCCTGCTGCTATCTGACCCTGGGCGACCTGTTACCTCAGCCAATCTGATTTCTCCAGATGGCAAGGCAGCTCAGCACCCTCAGGGTGGCAGAACTGAGAAATTTCGGGTCCGACGATTAGAGAGGCTTGATGTGCAGAATATTCCGCACATTGTTATTTTGTTTATTTCGCATTGTTATAGGTTTACTGCTTTTGTTACGTTTCGAAAAATGTTTGGTATGGTGCCAAGATTAAAACACTCAGGTAGAAAGCTGCAAAATAAAGTTTGCACCGTATTATGACTTCTCATAGAGATATGACAGGAGCTTCGCTATAAATGGACTCTGGGAGTGGAGAGGAAATTATTGTTGGCTACCACGCTTTAACCCTGGATGAACGCCTTGAACATAGTTGCAGGTCTCGAAATCAAGAGTCGTGAACACGTTGCACTGGATATAAGTATATTAAAAGAAGATTTAAAGTTTTCATTAAGGAAAATACTCACAAGTTTGCTGAAAACTCTTCGACAGCCCACGACAGGTTTCGCTCGTCTTGGGGCTCATCAGGTAGGCGCAATCCCTGAGTTTCCGTCAACCTCATGTTCTACTTGAACCGAATAGGGCTGTTTTTGAGAGGTAAGCTCATTCGAAAATCAATTTGGTTTCCCCGGGAGACTAAAGTGAATCTTTCGTTTACGATATTCTACAACTGAAACTGTTTCTTTCAAAAGCATCGTCCTCAATGCAATCTGAAAAGGGCACCAAAAGCCCACATAAAATTGTGCAACTTAGATTCTAACAGTTGTGAAGATCGTCCATACAGACGTGATGAAGTTTTTTCGGTAGTCTCACCCACCGAGTTCAAAATGCGTTAACTGAACCACAGTGGACGCAATGAAACAGCTTCGGTTTCGATCCCAGGGACAAACAGCCTTGTCGGGCATACTGGAAATTCAATAGAGCATCGTTGCTACTTCGACGTTCCAAATGCTTAGCACTTCTTTGCCAAAAGGGAATTTTACCTTCAACTAGCAATCAGAAGTGTTGATGTCGAACAGCGTCCTCAGCTGATGGGATGAAATCTGCTTTCCCGCAGCCGATCTAGCGTGTTCACCAAAAACCGTCATGGCTTTTGCATCTGCTCTGAAGGATCGCGTCAAGTTGCACACACAAGAATGAATGCGCGTGTGCAAGCATGTGCGTAGGTTGGACGGATCTTCAGCTGTCTGTGAGTTTCCCGTAGCACGTTCCACACCGGTAATTACGTTAATTAGGTGAGCCACAACATCAACTGTTACAAGACACACTTTGGATACTCAGTATCTGAGTGTACTAGACTAATTCCAGGATTGACTTCTATAAGGATCACATTTGTAGTGCTGTACGCTTTTCTGCTTAGTTCTACAATATATTAAACCGACAGCTCCAAATCTGAGGCCCCTCAATAAAAACACGCGATGTGTTTGGAGACGCAAAGTCGCATTTTCCAGACAATCGATCAACGTTAGCTAGGCTGTCGGGTTAGATTTGAAAATTTCTCTAAGCATACTGTAAAAAAGCTATACAAAAACCGTAACTATGTTTACTGAACTCCGTCGGACTTTAGGCCGACATATACATAGTTTCCAGTTGACATTGCCCCGAAACAACCCCGATGTCGTGCAAAAATCAGACACACCCGTGGAAATCGTCCTGGACTGAAGGATTTCGGCAAAACCAGTAGAAAAGTATAGTTCGGATGCATGCTTTATCAAGTGAAAGACTTCACATTAAATCAATGGATGATGAGAAAATGGCCAAGATTTTATGCCTGTATCTGTCCGCTGTGGTACACCAATGAGGCTGTTTGAAAGTTGACCATTACAAAGTGATCAGAGGACTAAGATATCTGCAAAATCTACCAACCCTCCAATCCGATCAAAGATCACCTACGGTCAGTATGCAGAGAGACTCTCGCCCACAGTTCGTCATTTGTTCACCAGCCGTACAGATGCACTGTCCTTGAGACGCAGACGTTGTCAGGCAAACGTAGGAGCAAATGGCGCAGGATATTCCAGAAAATTTCAAGTGAATCTGATGGTACCCGAAAATCATTGCTGCACTCATCTCCTCCATGTGGTGATAGAAAACGCCTTAACCAAAAGCACGTTGTAATGACCAAGTCCAAGTTGACATCCATATCATACCAATTGGCCCTCGAGTACGCATTAATCACTGGGCTGCGATATGAACAAGCATTGGATATGCAACTGCATACACCGCTTCGGATTGACAAATTATCGAATTCCTGCTTCTCGAGACTTCCACATCTGACGGAGGGAATATTCCGACCTGATTTGGAGTGACTAGCTGGACGGGAGATTTGGGATGTATTGTTTCCGGAACTATCCAGATAGGAAGTGACATGAATATCTGTACAGGACGTTTAAAACTCAAGTTTGGCTACAGAATGACCAGTTTGTCCGTACCCGTCTCTATGTGCGGTGTTTCTGCTCGGACAGCGGTCACGTGCGTTGTGTATCTGACCGGATTACGACTGGTTACGACTTCGAGCATTCGAACACGGACAGGATTGCAACACCAGGTACCTGTGATTCTGAGAATTGCAAGTCACAAATCTGCAAACTGTCCGTCCCGGAGAAATTCGCTCCACTTTGGAGTGTAATTTCTGGGATTCAGTTTGGTGACTCGCTGTTTTGACATACTGGAGAGAGTTTACGAAATTGACTGTATGGGAATTTACAGGGTGATCACAAGTCGATAAAAATAACATCCACCTGAAATTCAATACAAGGAATGAAACTCATATCGTACGGGCACCGGGAGCAACAATATCAGCACTTCGGTCTTCAAAATGACTGAAACATTTCAGTGTCCTTCCCACGTGAACAATTAAGTGAATGTGGAAACTGGCGGATCTCGGTCAGACGTGTTCCCGTGTAACCAACAAGGGAACAAACGAACGAACGACAAAACGTTTTGATCGTCAAGTATGCTTGCGAAAACCTACCTGACGCAGCTCGTTTTCCTTGGCCCGTAACACGGCTTCGTTTTGCTACAAGACGACGATGGAAGGGAAGAAAAGACAGTCAAAATCAAATCGATCGAATGGTCTGAGTTGGATTAGTTTTGCTTTTAGAGTGAGTGTAGCTGTTTGGTCCGAATACTGCTCAAGTTCGATCTGCGATCGCCTCAGAGGAAGCTAAAACAAAGCTTCCATCGTAGAGTTAGTCCAGTTCAACACAGAAAAAATAGAAGTAGTGTATGCGTTTTGTTCGTTCGGCTCGTATTTCACCTGCAATCAGAACCAATCTGCGCTGAGAAGTAGTGTACTGCTAACTGAGCATTGTTGAGCATCCTCTACAGTGTGCAATTCACAAGCTTATAAAAGCAGTCGTAACTATGACCATCGATGCGGGAAGTTGAACAGCCTACCTCTTCTTTGTTAGGTCTGGGATGTTCTAAACCTGTGTTTCGTCCTTTTCTCATATTGTTCAACCGGCACCTGTCTTCTTTTGACCGATGGATCGAATCCATTGGAGCAGGGTGCGGCTGTTTCCTGCCATGTCCTTGGCCTCCGCAGTCCACTGACGTTCTATGCCGTTCTTCAAGCTCCTGATTATCCAATGTTTGAGGGATCTGCGTGCGCCATCATGATCACTAGTTGCGGCCATGGTCTTTCTGGTTGCGGCCTCGAGTCGGTTGGCCTGGGCAAACAGTTTAGAAAGCTGTGAGCACTGCTTCTTTAACTCGCCTCTATTCAACTTCCAAGCATTCTTCGTCCTCCGCATGACTCTGTGCTTCCAGTAGCTTTCTAGCCAGGTGAACTGGATATTCTCAAGCTGCTGAAGCTTGCCGAAATTTATGGACGGAGCTGCTCTCTTTTGGCACGTGTATTGCTGGCGGAAAGCGAAGTTCCAACCGAGCCCGTACATTGGTATGATCAGAGTCAAGTTGCGTACCCCAGAAGGAAAGACAGTCCTTAACTGAGGCCCTTTAATGGCCCAATTGAGTCCTCGACTGTCTTGTGGTAGGTGGTCTCCAAGTAACTCGATGTGTGCGTTTGTGTTGAAAGTTTGTACTGGCCAGGAACAAACGATGATCTGCACACAACTGAAGAAATCGCTTTCCATTATACGTACGCTCAGCAACGACCCTAAATCGACCACCTAACTGTGCTTCTTCCGGACTTAGTCGTCCAAATTGGGCATTCATATCACCCGTCAGGATCAGTATATCCATCCTTCTTGCCGACCGAAGCAGTCGTGACAGATCTTGATAAAACTCGTCCTTCTCAGTTTCAGAAGTGCAGTCAGTTGGGGCGTAGGCTGATACGGCAAACAAACACCGTTTACTATATCGACCTGCGTTAATCTTAATGGAACCAGACAGCCGCACAGCGCAAAGGCGTCTGTTTACTGGGATCCAGTCCAGTAAGGCGCTTTCAGCCTAGGGGTTGAGTTCAACAATCACAACGTAGAAACCACGAACCACTGCGTCAGGATCACCAGATACCCGAAGAGTGAACTGTGGAACATCCGTGCTCGTACTAAGCGGCTTGAGGAGCGGGACCGAAGTGGGGTCTTGTAAGCGTCTTTCGGAGACATCATATATCGAAAAGGGAAAGCAAGGTTTCAGCAAGGGATGTCTGTTACCCCATTTGACATACAGGACGGACATTAGAGGCTGCAATTCTGGTCAGATCTCTTGAAGCTTACTGGTTAGAGCGCGAATTTACTAACCAGAAGGTCCGTGGTTCGAACCCGGCCTCTGCCTCCCGACTTCCCCTGTCCAGACTTGGGTAACCTGGCAGTATCCCAGCCCTCGTTCTTCCTTCGGGTGTCATGGCATTAGGCACCAAAAGAGTGGCAAAGCTGAATGATTTATTATTATCGCTATTATTTTGGTTTATTTTTCTGGACGAAGGTTTAGACGCGGAGTAGTGGTAAGGGTGTTGGCAGATGGGTTGACTGTACTGCATTGTGCTATGGGTGGGGAGGGAGTATGGGAAAAGCCGGTTAGCGAAAAGATTATACTTCTCGGTTGCTTTGGCCGAAGAACGGGGTTTAGCTGAGCCTCTTGGCTCAAAAGTCGGGCCCACTGGGCCGTGGAAGGATGTAGGGTTTTGTTTCGGGACCTTACACCTAGCATCTGATTTAAAAGTCTGAACCGCAAGAGACAGTGGTTCTTAGGGTTTTCTTGGGGGACTCTGCCCGAAGCCAATGACTTAATAGTCCGACCCACGTGGCTGTACGGGGCCGGCTTGGTCCCAGGACGCTTGGTTTAAGGCATTACTGTCTCACTGCTGATGTGGCTGCGCGCAGCAGGTGACTTTTGAGCACCAGCAGACTCTTTGGTCCTAAAGATATTTCGACCACACTGAATAATGTGCCAGTGGTCACGGTCAATCGTTGGGCGATCGGAGTGTGCGGTTTATGGGGCCGACCTTTACTAACCTGTCCTTCCTTGGGGGAATGCAGCATCGCTGCTTCCAATAATATGGACATGCTGGTCGCCTGGGGGGTACACCTTACCGCCTTCACACTACTGTCGCAGAGGACAGTACGAATTTACCCCCAGACCGCCTCGTAGCACTATTATTCGTAGTAAGGGGTCTCGCTGCTCTTGGTCTGACTGCTCCCGTTTGGCCTTCCTGGCATGGTTGCACCTTGTGGAATAAAGTTCCAGCCAGTAAAACCCGCGGGATCATTTCAGCACTCAAGGCCTACCACCACGTTCAGGTGGCAGCCTAAGGTCGGGGGTTGGTGAGCATAGTTAAAAGCGTTGTCCTAAACAACCTAAAAGGTTCTCCCGAATGTGAATTTGTTTGATTCTTCTATATGTTTGCCACCAGTGGGCGTGGCAACAACATGACCACGGTGTCTCAGTATGGCGGTGCTTTGATCAAGCACTGACGCGTGTTGAAATACATTTTACCGGCCGGTTGTTGACCTACGAATGCGATGGATTGATTGAATGGACAGCTCAATTGCTTAGGTTGTTATCCAATTCTTCAAAGGCACAGGTTACTTGGACTGTTTGGACAGCACTCCATACAAGGCGTACTTTCCCCCTATTAGCATTCACCTGTCTGCCGTTGTTGAGTATTACTGAACGGTATTGCAACTCTGTATCAGTCACTTGGCTTCCTGCTCCGCCCACTATGGTGTATCAAAAGGCATGGTAGCCCTACACAGACCGTTGTGGAGACAAAGGACAGTTATTTCAACTGTATTTATAGGGTAATCACAGGGTATTCCACAGGGTCGTGCTAGAATCTCCGTGAGGGGTCGAGAAGCGTCTTTTCAAAGGTGCTCGATCCGGATTGGCTGGCGTTCTGATGACCAATCAGGGCATGCCTTCGATTTGTCCGTGTAGTGCACGTGACACATCCGGCCAGGTGTTGTGATGTTCGGTTACAAGGGACGACTGGCCTCCGGACAACCGTACACTTTTTCAGTCTGACATGGATATTTTCATAGTAGACGGAGTGGAGCCGTTTATAAATGAGGAGAATACACACTCATTTACCTTTCCCTTTGATGACTGCAAATCCTCAGTTGAGTGAAAATCGGCACACACCAGTCTTCGGCATGGAGTGGTCATAAACCATACTGTACATTACTCTTCTGCACTATAAGTTATGACCAGACTCGTCTTCCGGATATATGATATATATAT